CAGTTACAGATGGGCTGGGGATGTGGGTGCCACCCTAGGGAGGTGGGCAATCCACCAGACCCGTGGGTCTCCTGTGGGCAACCCACCAGTGCTCCCTTCAGCTCTCCCCCAGCCCAAGGCCCCATCATATGTCCCGGGTTACTGCCCTAGGGTCAGCCCTGCACCGGCCCCTGCACTCAGAGCCCCCCAGCAGCCCCCGTGGCCCCCTGCACCTTCACCCTCCACTCTCCTCCCCATTCACCGAGGCCCACCCCTCCTGCCTGCTCCTCTGCTCAAGGGGCTTCTTAGGGACCTTCCTGGCCCCCACAAAAGGACAAACCTCACCCTCAAGCTTCCCTGGCCTTCTGCTCGTCACTGCACATCACTAGCCCGCGTGCCACGTGCTCATTGTTCACTGTCTGCCCCAGAGAAGGCAGCCTCCGTGTCACCACCGTGTCCCCAGCAACTAGAGCATTTGGCAAGTACCTTCCAAGTGAACGAGGGGATGGACGGCCAGACACTGAGTAAAGGAGAGAACGTGAAGAGAGATGGAAGCCAAGGAAGCGGTGGGAGACTGGATATGGGCAAAGGGAATCCATCCTTCTTCCCTCCCTCCCATTCATTCTCTCCCTTTCCCTCCCCATCTCATACCCTGTCCTTGTGCATCAGCCCCCAAGCTTGTCCCACACCACATCTCAGCCGATGGGCTGCTGCCTAGTTCACTGGTAACACAACAGTCTGAGAACTTGTGTGCCAGCCCTGCTTCCTCACCAGCCATCCCAAGTGCACACTCAGCTCCTCCCCCATTTCCCGCTTCGAGATCAACAGACATGGACACCAGGGTTCTGGATCCCACTTCCCCTCATCCACCCAGGACGTCTCTCCAGCACTTCCTGTCTACAGCCGCCGCTAGTCCTTGCCTCCCAGACTGGCACACAGGCTGTAGCCCTCGTCCTGCCCCTTCATCTCCCTCCCACCACTGCCCCCAGCTTTCTGCCTTGCTTTGCTACAAAACTCCCTGAAAAGAAGAGCTGCCCACAGGTGCTCACCAGGAACCCCTCCTCCGTCCCCGTAGAGCCTTTCCCAGCAAGCTACCGTCAAGAACCCAGCACTTGCGTGTTGCTGAATGCCATGCTCAGCTGTGTGCCCCCCTCTTGCTCTGTTCAAGAAGAGCTCTTCCTTCCTGAAACACCATCCACTTTCCTCTTTGGGTTCTCCACCCACCTGATTGGCCAGTCCCAACCTGCAGACTCAGGTCCCTGGGCTCATGTGGGCAGCGTCCCCAGGGATCCCGTCTAGCTTTGGGCTTGGAAGACCATCGGTACACCTGCGTCCTGCATTGACACCTCCAGCCACAGCCTCCCCGAGTATCTAGATGGCTCACCCCTCATGTCCTTCCAAACTCATCATGGAGGACTTCTCTGAGCATCCCACACACAGCAGCCTCCCAGCCCACATTCTGCACTCCTTACTCCCTCTTCCACGTGGGAAACTGAAGCATGGTGTTTCCACTTATGGAGTGATCTTCATGGCGCTCCCACCCCCAGGCACCGTGACGGTCATGAAGCACACAGGTCAAGACCTGTCCTTGTCAAGCATATATTCAGGGGCGGGGGCGGCGGAGGGCACAACTAAACATCACATGTAAGTGAAGGATAATGATCTAGGAAGACTGTTTACACTAAGAAGAAACAGTAGGGTTGCGGAGACTGTGCCCCCTGGGCAGAGGCTCAGTGGTCTTGTTCACAGCTGTGTCCTCAGCGCCTGGCAGAGGCTCAGCAAATTCTGCATAAATGAGTATTGAGTGGTTAACAAATGACGATTAGCAGGGGGAGTGTCAAAAGAGGGCAGCTCCAGCAACAGAGGCATGGATGAGAGGGATTGTAGGCAGGGCAGCCCCTCAGCTCATTCCCGTGGAGCTAGGACTAGGTGCCGTGACCCCCGTGCCAAGGGTGAACGTAGGCTTGGTTTACAGGAGAGTATATGAGGGTAAGAGGGTTCCCTGAGGCAGGGGTGGAGTCCCCGTCCCACCCCAGGCTCCTCTCATGACCCGGACACCAGCCTCAGAAGCACAGGGACCCCAGCTGGCCTCGAGGGACAAGCTGGGCTTCACCAAGCAACGCAGCCTCCCCAGCCAGGGTCCCTCCCCTCCCTACCAAGTAAACCCTAATTAAAAACAACAAAATAATGAGAAGTAATGCCCCTCCCATGGCTACCCCCAGGGACCTCAGCTCAGGAGGGGTTGGGTCAGGGTAGCTCCCTGGATTCCCCACTGGCTAGCACTCACGCCGAAACAGACCTGGGGCCTCCTCCTACCCCATAGCCACATGCACACACACCCAGGTTCACAAGTCCCGTGAGCTGCAAGCAGGAGCAACACAGCAGGTTCCCTGCGTGACTCTGGGCCCACACGTGAGCCCCCTACCCACCCAGGGGTCCCCTCCCAACGTGGAGCCACCTCTGGGGATGATGTGCAGAGAGAGGGAGCTTGAAAACCACCGGGGCCAACTCCCGGCCCTCCTCCTGCGGACACAGAGAGCAGAGAGTCTGCGTCCCAGATGAGAGACAAAGAACACGGCCAAAAAGAGAAAGACAGCAAGAAAGAATGAGAGGGAAAGAAACAGAGACAGAGAGGACAAAGGAGAGCGAAAGGGTCAGAAATGCAGAGAGGGTTAGAAATACAGAGACAGGACCAAGAAAGTTGGGGAGAAGGAGGGAAGGAGGGACAGAGACGCCGAGAGATTGGGGGGCGGTGGACAACAGAACGGCAGGGGAGCAGTACTCGGGAAGAAGCAAGGGAAGATCAGAGAGAAAAGACATGGACAGATGGAGGGGTCTCCAAAGAAGGGTCAGGGGCCAGCATTAAGGTCTCAGGACCCTTGGGACCCTCTCCCTAGGGCTTCCAGAAGGTGGGCCCATCCTCTTCTCTCTTGTGTGTCCCAGAGCAAGGAGAGCAGCCTGGGGTGCCCTACCCTCAGGAGGTCCCTCCCACCCTCACTGAGGGACCAGCAACCTGGACCGGGAATCGGAAGACCAGGGGTCCTGCCAAGGGGTCAGTGGGGGCTCCTCTGCCTCCCTGCCTTGTTCCCAGAAGCCCAAACACTCAGCACCAAAGATTGCATCCTGGGAGGCAGGGTCACACCACCCAGCCCGCTCCCAGCAGGGCAGAACACAGAGCACCCCCCACCTCAGTAACCCGTTAATTCAGCAGACACTATCTGATCTCTCCTGGGGGCCCGCCCCAAGCGAGGCTCTGGGGACACCCTGAAAAATAAGACACCATTCTTGTCCTCAGGGACTCACGTCTAGAGAGAGGGAGTAAACAGCAGTGACACCCCTAGACACCCTACACTGCGCCCAGCGGACCGGGGGGAGTGCCCTGCCCTCGGAGGGGCCGCACTCACCACCAGCATCCCCCACCCCCCCCAGCAGCAGCGGTGCGGCTGCCGGTCTCCACAACGCCTCAGAGGGCTTTTGGTAAATTCTGCCCTGACCCCACACCCACCCTGGAGCAGGGAGCGCCCCTGTGTCCACCACGTTGTGGAACCCCACATCTCCCAGTAGAAGGCTCCCCACTCCCTTCCCTTCCCAGTCATCATGAAACGGAATGGAATTCAGAGAGTTGTGCAGAAAACCTATTAATTCAGATCTCAGAGGCATCCGTGCCATCGGCGCTGGTGAAAGGGTACCATCCTGGGGAAAAGCACGAGGCAGGAGGAGCCCCAGACAGTTCCGTCGTCCCTCCAGGGACACCTGCCAGACGAGAGCCCAGCACTGATGCTCGCTGGCGTGTGCTACAGACACTCTGGGCCGAGCCATCAGCAGTTGGAGCAAACAGGGAAGCAGGACCCCAGGGCAGGGCAGCACCCTGAGAGCCTGGCTCGGGAGCCCAGAGGCTATTTAGCCAAGTCTGTGTCTTCTCCCATGCAGGGAGCCCGGGGAGGCTTGAGCCCCAGACCTGGGGCTTTCATGGTCACCTCCTCCCTCCTGTGCCTTCTGCCCAAACCACCTCCACGTGTGCTCACCTGCACCAAGGCAGGTTAAGGGGTCGTTGGGCAGCTTCTGCCCAGCACAAGGGTGGAGGCCCTGGCCACAATCACCCCTCCTTGGGAAGGAGTGTTCTGGGCCACAGTGGGGCCTGCTCCCTCCTCTCTGATCTGGGTTCTGAGCCTCTCCGGGGACCACAAGGCCCCAGGGAAGAAGAGACTGCAGTCCCTGGCCTGGGGTGGGGCCTCTGGGGCCTGGGCTGTGCAAACAGGTCCTACGGAGCAAATTCCCCAAGCACTCACCCACGCCACCCCCAGAGCAGAAGCTCCAGCCTTCAGCCTGCTGGCCAGAGAAGCAGGGCAGCGGCTCTAAAGGACCCGCCAGGCAGATGGAGAGACTGAGACCCCGAAGGGTAGCGGCTCAGTGGCAACAAGCAGGGTGGTCTGTCTGCACCCCGCACCCCAGCCCGTCCCCAAGTCAACTTCTAGACCTCCTGGGTTGTCTTGGGAATCACAAAGTGGTAATTATCAGGGTCCATTTGAGGAGGAAAGGACACACTGATCAAGCACCGTCCTGGAGCCAGAAACCGTGGAAACACATACCGTTGACAAGCTCATCCACACACAGCACAGAGCGCTAAGAACGCGCTTCCCAGGGAGCTCTTGGGGCAGGAAACAGCTTAGCGCAGCGCGCGCGTGGTGCCTCCCCCGGGCCACAGGCCGACATGGGCGGGGCTGGAGCCCAGAGCCCTCCCCCTGCCCGGGGAAGCCCCTCCCCCACGGTAGCCCGGCCACGGAGGCAGCGGGCCCACACCCGTGGCTCTGCAAGTGAGTGTTTTCACCTGACACAGAACACTGAGAGTGGGCCCTTCAGCCAAGATCACCACACCCAGGCAACCGCCCAGTCCCACACGGCGGGGGGGCAGTCGGGCGTTTCCTCACACGCAGCCACCTGCACCCGCCGCGGCCCAGTGTGGACACTGCCGCCCAACCTCCAGCCCCGAGAAGGGCACAGCCTGGGCCCTGGCCGCCTACCCTGTGAGAACCACCACGAAGTCCATGACGTTCCAGCCGTTCCGCAAGTAGGAGCCCTTGTGGAAGACAAAGCCCAGGGCTATGATCTTGATCCCCGCCTCAAAGCAGAAGATGCCAATGAAATAGGGCTCTGTGTCGTCCTGAGGAGAAGCAGAGAGAGGGTCGCCACCACCCCCAGTCCGGCAGGCCACACTCACGGCCCAGGTCTGCCCCTCCCACTCAGCCTCACCACCCACAGACTTCTCCAGCCCGGCACTTTCATCATGGGCCTGTTTGCTCCTCTGCCCTGTTGTCCCAACAGGAAATGGGGCCCTGCTCCCACAGCCAGTGACCTCCTAGTCACAGCGGGGAGGCATCCTGGGACCTCCTACCCTTCGAAGCCCTGCAGAAGGGGAAGCAATGTTGACATTTGTGGGCTTCTTCTGCAATCCATCCAACACCCCATGTGTTAAGCACGATTATCATCTGTTTCTAAAGGAAACAGACACAGAGAGGTCAAGGAACTGGGCTGGAGACTCACAGTTTGTTGGAACCAGAGCCGTACTCAAACCCAGAGGCGATCTGGGTCTGATCCTGGGCTCCAACCACTGGAGAAGTTGCCTGGATAATGTCCCAGCTCCCTAGAGTGCAGCCCAGGACCCACTTATTCATTCAACACACATCTTCTGGATAATCATAACATGCAAATGCAAATCTTGGGGGAGCAAATACAGCCCAGCCTCAGGGAGCCTCTGGAGAGCAAGACATCCAGCTAGGCAGCAAGGAAAGGAATTCCAGGTGGAGGGAACAGTGAGCAAAGCAATCTTGTCACTCAGCCAAGAGCATCAACTGGGGCCAGGCTCCCCTGGTGCTGAGGTGCTGAGCAAGGTGGGAAACAAGTTGTAGAGAGCTCGGGGAGGAGGATGCCACATGGAGACACGCACAGACGGTGTGGTAAGTGACCAGGGGCATCGCTCACTTGGGGCTGCAGGGGAGGGGCGGGCCAGATTGGCTCCTAGTGGCTGCTCTCAGCTCGAACTGAGGGCCAGCGGCCTGTGCCTTCCTCCCCCAAGAAGCCTGGTCCTCAAGAGCTCTCCCCATCTGACCTGGTATACCGTCTGCCTGGGCCTTCCCAGCTGTGCACGGCAGAAGCTACCTCCCTGAGGGGCCCAGTCAGCCCAGTGTCCATCATGGCCCAACTCCCCCATCCTGCTACCCAGATGCTGACTCATGACTGAAATCATCCCCTGGAAGCTTCAGGTCTAGTTTAGTTGGAGGGACCCCTCTCCCCAAGGGAAGGGGCTGCTGACATCTGGCCCAGGAAACAGCTTGGCTCTAACAAACACATCCTCACAGAAAGCTTCCGGACACACAAAAGAGCAGGCCAGAGCTGGGAGATGGGGTTGGCCCCCCCAGATCCCTCTCTTCATTGCTCTTCCCCCAGCCCCACTCTGGAGGGCTGGCTTGGGGAGGGGTGGGTGGGCAGACAGCCATGGGCTTGGTTGGGGGTGGAGCGGGACGAAGACCGCCAGCTAGGGTTCTGGCTACAGGCTGCGCGGGCAGTTGATGGGTGGCTGGAAAGCAGAGCCCCCAGAGACGGGGAGCTGTGGAGGCCCCACCCCAGTCCAGGTTGGCAAACAATGGAGCACCTGCACGACCTAGCCTCCTGCCCTAGCAAGCCTCCAGGCCTGAGCCCTGAAGCTGCCACAGCCCCTCCTCTCCAGACCCTGCTCTGTGTTCCAGCCTTCTCTCCATCCATAGGTCTGAAGGCCAATGTCTGCACACAGGACTACGGTCAGCAAGGGCTCCTCAGGCCTCCAGGCCAGGCCCAGGCTGAGCACATTCTGCTTGTCTTCCCAAGAGCCCACCCCCCATCACCACAAAGCAAACCTTCCCTCACCTGGGAGACAGGAGTTCAGACTTGCCCAGATGCCCAGCTGGCCCACTCAAGCCTGCCACCCCTCAGGGACAAGCCTAAGACTGCCCTCTGTACACTGGCCTCCCTGTCCCTGACCGCCACCATCTCCTGGCCCGCTTCCTTCTGGCCCTAACACTGCCAGACTTCCCTGGAGGTATGGCCACACCCTGTGGTCTGCAGAGGTCCCCTGCTCTCACTTTCTCCGCTCCAGCTTCCAGAGCAGACGCCCACCACAAGCACGTGCCAGGCCAGCACGCACAAGGGGCCCACAGGAAGCCGGTGACCCTATCTGGCTCCACACGGGGCAGGAGTCACCCACAGGGGCCACACCCACTCAGGCCTGGCGGCATGGCTTGTGCTGTCTTCACAGCCCTCCTCCCCACAACCCGAAGCCCTGGCCTTCCGAGCACCGCAGAAGACGATCCAGGGAGCCGCCCATTCCTGGTCGTCCATTTCCTTGCCTTCTTTTGGTGCCTTGCCCAACTGTGAGCAGCCCCAAGTCAGCCTCCCTCTGTCCTCCCTTCCCCACCCCTGGGCCTGTGATGACGGGGAAGGGGCGTTCAGGGCCCACGCTAAACACTGAACAGCCCCTGTATCACCTCCTGCCTATCTCCACTGAAGCGAGGGAAAGAAGCTGTGGAGAGGACCAATCGCTTGCCGGGGTACAAGGAAAGAGGGATTCTCCTCTCGATGCCCAATGCCCCTAGGAGAGCCTGGGCTGTGTCTCAGGGACCTCAGGACTTTTAGCAGCTCTCCAGCCAGGCCCCAGACCCCCTCTCCAGACCCCTGCACCTGCTCCTCTCCCTGCTCTCAGGCCTAGGAGCCTACACCAATCCCCGGCAAAGGGTTCAGGTCAGAGGAAAGACTGGGGACTAGGGGACACAGCCTCACCTTTGAAATGAGGCTCACTGCTCCAAATACCACCCTCTGCCCCTCCAGAGACCCTGCCCTGGGGTTCTGACTGTCATGTGCAACAGGGGACACCACAGGGATCTGTGGAGCTCTTGACAGGAATGGGTGAAAATGATTCAGGACGTTTGGGAAGAATACTTGGGAAGGAGTGCTTCCCATATGAAGGGGACAGGATTCCCCATGGGGAAGGAATTCCAAGCAGAGCCAGGAAAGACAACTCTGAAGGACAGGTGGACAATCCCTAGACCCAGGACCATACCACAGGGACCAAAGACGATCAGAGCCCTGCCCAGGAAAGCCCCTGGGCAGCCAGAAAGGTGGGCACTCACCCAGAACCTGACATTTCCCTGGGCCATTACGAATGCCCCTCCCCCACCCCTGGTTTCACCTAGTTTCCTAGATCAGCGCTTAAGGCGGTGGAACTGAACAGCCCATCTGAGGTTCGGGGTGGCTAGTGGCCCGGGGCAGATAGCCGCTAGCTAACACGGCCTCTCTCAGGCCATCCTTCCCATCAGGGCTGCGCTAGCTACCCCAGTCCTCCTGGCCCTGGGGGAGGTGTCAGCTGCCTGGGTTCTCACCTTTTCCTCCACTAAAAGGAGAAGAGAGCTACGCAGATTACCCTGCCCGAGGAAGCTAAACTGAGCCACCGATGCTAAAGGGCGTGGAATCAGACAAGCGGCGGCCGCCCGCAGCCCCGCCCGCAGCCCCGCCGCCGCTCACCAGCCGCTCGGACATGGGCGTCTTGTCCCCGTCGGGGAGGTGCTGCTCCAGCGCCAGCACGATGCAGTTGGCGATGATTGTGGCCAGGATCATGTACTCAAACGGAGTGCGTGGGTTAAGGACTGGCCAGGAGGCGCACGGCGCGCAGTGCAGCAGGCGCGGCGAGGCCCCCTCCGGAGGGGCTGAGGACGACGGGTCGGAAGCCCACCCCGCCCTGCCTACCCTCCCCCTCGGGGGCCGCCTCGAGGCGGAGCCTCTGGCCGTCTGGGCGGCCAGCCCCTCGGCACGTCCCGGCGGCCGTCAGCACCGCGGACAGCGCCCCCGCCGCGCGAGGCTCGGCTCCCGCGACCCGAGGGGAGGGGACTGCGCCCCCCGCGCGAGGCTGGAGGAAGGACCCCGCGCAGGCGCACACTCCCACCTAGAGACACGTAGCCACATGTACCTACACAGGCACTTGAACATACATGTACCGCGTCCCGCACGCACGCACGCGCAACACCGGGTTCATGTAATGCCCGCACACACACGCAAGCACCTGCAGCCAAGCACGCGCCTGGGCTCGCGTCCACCCGGGTGCTCACACCTGCACAGACACGGATTCGCCCTCGGGTGCCCTCCAGGCTGGCCGCGCGCTCTGCACCCACACCAAGGGAGTGAAGGGACGAGTCCAGGGACAGGGGGCTCCGCCCAGCGTCCATCCCGCTCCCGCAGCCGCCACCACCACGACCACACGCGCGCGCGCGCGCGCGCACACACACACACTCAAACACACACCACACACGCACACGCGGCGCGCGGAGGGCCCCGGAGCCCCGCCCCGCCCCCTCCTCGCCGAGAGCCGCGTCCCCGAGCCGCCTCTCCCCAGGTCGCACCCTCCTCCCGACCCCGGGCAAGATGGCCACTGGGCGCCGCACGCG